CTTAGATAGCTTATTGATTGCCTCGACTGCGCTCCGTGTCCCACCATTACGACAATGTAGAAACTGCGAAGACAATGTATCTGCTCTTTCACGGCTGATGTAGCTTTCAAATTTCTTCTCGCACGCTCATATAATTCCGCAATTTTTCAAATCTCACTGCATCTTGATTATTATCGTGTTTAAGTTGCAAAATAAAAAAAAAAGAGACTTACGTCACTAAATAATTTAATAAACAATCATTGCGAACAATTTCGATTTCGTGCGTGCATCGACGAATTCTTGCGACACGTGAAAATAAAGTGCCGTAAAGTTGGAGAGTCGGCAAAAATATAATTTCGTAGAATGTTTCCATTGATATAAGAGGATTACGATGTATCAGGATGAAGTGAAAGGATAGTGGGAGTGACAGCAAAGACAGTAAAGCAGTGGGATAAAGTGGAGGCAGAAAATTGAAGAATAAAAGGAACGACAAAGCGCGGAAGAAGCGAAGTCACGGGAAACTGCAAACTAGACGGATATATCTTCCGGGTAAATTAAAATGGATTATATATGTGGTCTCTGCCCCTCAATCTCACTTCTCCGCTTTTTTGCCGCATTGTTAAAGTTACCTAGGATGTCTCCGCTATCTGACTGTATTTATCAACGGGCATTTCACGCATCAACTTTTTTCTTTTATCACATATTAAATTTAAAAATATTAAATATTTTTTATCAAATATCAAATATAATCGAATTTTAAGCAAAAGAGAACCCAGTGTGTTTTTATTCGCGATTTAATGTTCAATTTAAAAAAAAAACCGGCAGCAAAATTTGTGATCGCTTTTCGTTATTTTACAAACCCCCCCGTACCGTATAACTTCGTTCTCGAAGGTGTACACGCGCGGAGAAAGGACGACGCGAGGGGGAAGTACTAGGTCGGTGCCCACAATTCTGGAAAGCCCAACTCCGCCGCCCGGGGAAGGTCGGGACACGGAGTCGACCATGATGTATGCTTCTCTTCCGTCTAATTAAACTTGGGGAGGGTCGCAGAGTTGGTTGGTTGGTTAGTGCGCCGGTTGTACGGACGGACGTACGTACGGTCGGACTGACAGCGAGGGGCGGTCGGCGGATAGCTTTCAAAATGACAACCGGAGAGAGAGAGAGAGAGAGAGAGAGAGAGAGAGAGAGAGAGAGAGAGAAAGAGCGAGAGAGACTGAGTGAGGAAGAAACATATCCGAATGGACATCGCCGAGTTAGACAGAGACGGAGAAAAGATCCGCGCCTCTCCGCGAACGCATGAAACGGTACTTATGGACGAGAGTGGGATCACCATCGACTTCCTCCCGGGAGACTCGATGCACTTAACTTCTATTACATTATTCATACGCGACGATAAACAATCCGTTGAAAAAAGAAGACGCGGCGGAGCGGGCCGGACGTTCGTGCCGTACCAAACTTTTATCGAGCATTGGCAAGCGTCGCGATTTTCGAAAATATCGTCGAGTCAGCGTAACGCGGCAAAACATGCGAACCGCGCCGCGCGCGGATCTGCGCCAACGAATACATAAACTTGCTTTTAGGAAATTCCATTAATCTCCAGTTGCACTCCGGCATACACGGGGGTTCGTTTTGTGCGATACATCGACTGAACGGTACTATTCTGTCTCTCTGCCTCTCTTTCTCTCTTGTTCGTTCTTTTTCACGTTTCCTACGAATATCGATAACAAACATTTTTCTCTCTTTTATTAAAAGGATATCTTGCGAAATCGGTACAAGGGACTGTACCATTCGATTTTTCATGCTTTCTTATCGTCGGAATCGCTTACGTGTAACTTATGACTCAAGACAGAGTTACAACAGCGCGAACATTCGTACATGATCTTCTTGGCCAATCGCATCTACTTCTTTCTGTAAAATTGCCCAATGCTAAGCTGATTAATAACTGTTGGCGCGCCCCGTGAGCGTAGATTTACTATAGATAAAGAAAGTACATGGCACTCGAGGAAGAATTAAGCAATAATATTAATAGCCCTTTAGATACGAATAATCCAATCGTGTGATTTTTTTTTCATCAAAAACAAAATATTTGCAAAATATTTTAACATCTGCACTTAAATGTGAGGTCGCTCATTTTTATTTTTAACTTTTCTCCCGAATTTCTAATTTGTAATTCCATTTTATAATTTATTCGCAACATTTAGAATCTTTTATATATCCTTCAATCTTCGCAACGAAATCATATTGCAAATTATTAAGTTGTCTTTTATTTCTAACGTTTCCCATAATACGTTTCCCCCAATCTCCTTCGCAATTTTATTTCGACATTTACCTTTTTCCCTCCTCCACATCCTTTTCGTTCTACAACATCACTCTCGCCGCATTCGCTCCTCCGATATTCGCTTTAGCATTGAACGCTACTTATTTCCTCGCCCCGTCGATCTCTTTCTCTCTTTCTCTCCCCGTCTGTATCTAAACTATGTGTATACATAAACTATGTCTATTCAACCGTTGCGGTGCGGTGCGCTCCGCTGCTTCCCGTCTGCCGTGTCAATGCGGACTAGCTTGCCGCGAATCGGGACAGACCATTGGCGCGCCCCAACAAATTCCTTGGCGCGAGACGTCGCGCGATTCCGAACGTTTAAACGGCCAGGTTAAACGACAGCGGCCGATAGCTGAACGCACGACCTGGAATTCCCGACGGCAATGCATCTATAACGACGGAAACGGAATGAGCGACGATCGGCGTATTCGCGTCGGGAAACACAATGAATTTATGGCGGATACCTTCGACTTGCTCACCGCAAACATCGCCAGAGGAGGAACTTCGGGGAGAGAGAGCGCGCGTGTCATAATTTCCCGTCCGGTTATCGAATTGTTTGATGCGCGCGTAGTGACGCCGACTTACAAACGCGCGCGCGCGCGCCAAGATCGACGACGGGTCGTCGACCTCGCGCGAGAAAGGGATTGTGTCCGCGATCGGTCCGCGCGGCGTTAGAGAAAAGCATTACACAGGAAATTAGGACATTAAACGAAGAGAATCGTAAGGTCGTAATTCGTCCGGCGGAAAAAAGACGAGATTTCGCGGACGGCGCGATGGGGAGGAGAATTGAGGAAGAGTGTTTAAGGACCTTGGCACTCGAATAAATACACGGTTGGCTCGCGCCAGTTACTCTTTTAACGTGTAATATGTATCCGGCGCACCGAATGAATTCGCGAGCCGCGGTGCAGTCGCTTAATCGCTCGTAATAACGCCGAGACGAATGCGGCGCAACCCCGACGACGATTGTCTGCGAAAAACCTTCCGTAATTTCTGCGGCGGCACCGCATAATCGCTCGCGCGGAAGAGGACGAGAGTTCCGTGAGTTCTGCCGCGTCTCGAATCCGACGCGTTTTTTTTCGTCATTAACGCGTTTCTCTTTACGACACGTACAAACGAATGAACCTTCAAACGCTCGCAAACGCCGTTCCATTTATATTTTGTTAACTTTGTAATTTGCAAATGCAATTGCAAATGTTGAATGAAGAAATAAAACTCTATTATTTGTCGCAATAATTACCCGCTAGTGATATGTTGCGATCTCGCGTGATTCGAAATCGCATTTTACACAAAAGTGATATTAATGCAAAAGTACGCGCTGTAAGTTTACTGACAGATATGAATGAGAAATAACGAGTGTGAGAACGCAAGGCACACCGGGGATTAGTGCGTGTATCGAGCAAAACTCGCTCCCCCGCGCGCGTACATCGAAACAAACTTTGAACGAATCGACAGACATCGAAACTCAGTCCGGCGGAGAGGGACCGACGCGCCGGGGGACGGCGCGCATCGGAGTCCCGATGCGCCGTCGGTTTACACTAAAATCCTTTTAACTTGGGCACCGCGTATGAGGTCGTTAACATCCGCGAAAGCTCTCGACGACGCGATTAACCGAGAGGCAGGAGGAACGCCCGACCGCGAGCTCGTCTTTCTACGTGCGAGCGCGGTATCGTCATCCTGCAAACAGCGTATATGCATTAAACCATGAACCCACTATCCCCGACGTCATATCCAATACACGTTGTTAGGGGGTTGCTGAAGCCGCGATACAGTACAGGCAAACGCAGGGAGGAGGATAGATGCGGGAAACGGGGACAGGCGGTGTGGGGAGAACGGTAGGTGGCTGCAGGGTGGTTTCGAGGGTGGCTGCCAACCCCCCCAGTGCGGTAATGGCATTAACCGAGCTGCAATATGATTACCGCTCTCGCAAGGTAACCTGATCACACCCGAAATCTATAGGGTGTCCGGGTGTGCGAGATAGAGAGAGATAGATAGAGAGAGAGAGAGAGAGAGAGAGAGAGTGCGAAGAAGAGGAGGATAAAGACAGAGTAACTAGTGCAGTGAGGGACAATGTATTGCGCCTGGAATATAGCTGCGCAACGTTACGCAACTGCGGCGACCGTCGTCGCCGGGGTGTTCTGCTGGCGTTTCTCCCCCTTAATCGCGTTGCGCTTTTTGCGGCTCAGATTACCCGTGAATCATTAGATACTCGGGGCTCCGGATAGAATCGAGAGCTACCACCACGGACTACTGTGCTACGGAACGTTCCTTATCTCTCGGCATTACGAGATTAGCCTCTCGCCGTTTCTCTCTCTCTCTTTTTCTTTGTTGACCTCTTTTTTCATCGTTCGTTTCTTTTGTTCGACCGAATCGTGCTTTTTTTCGCTAATTACTCGCGGACTTCGACATGTGCACGCCGGAAAAAACGTGAAGTTTCTTTGTGAGCTAAAAGCTTAAAAATTCCGAGTATAATCAACGCACGAAATTATCATAAAGGTTGTAAAAACAATTTCTCACAAGAGTTTCGAATCATCGCGATGACGATAACGTCCAAATACCATCACTCCTGATGACGCTGATATTCGAGACTAAAGATACACGATAAAATTTTCCGAATTTTTCTTGATAAATAATTCTCTCGAGAAACACATTGTCTGTTTCTCAAACTTCTTTCTCGACGTGTGTATTGTGTATATGCACTTACCGTAAGATGTTGAAAGAGCCACGCCCTAAGGATGTTCGTCGCGACCTTAGGAAAAATACCTCGTTTCTTTTGGTTCTTCTTGCCCGACGAGTCATCGTCTTCCTCGCCCGTTCCCTCGCCACTGCCGATACTGGCGTTACTCGCGTCACCTACAACAGTATAAAGAGAGCCAAGGTCATCACGCGCCGTCTCGGTAAACAGTCGAAAATATTGGCAACTCCCGGTTTGCATATACATTTTGTCAACATTGCCACAATATAAATTTAATCTTATACACATACATATGTATAAGATTAAATTATATATACATATATACATATTTATAAGATTAATAAATTATATTGTGGCAATGGACTGTACACATAAATTTATTCTCTTAATGTTTTACGACATTTGCGAGACGTCTCGCACGTCGACGTAGGATTTCCAACGCGTTTAAACCGCGCTCCGATTTTCGGTCCATACCCTAGTGGGCGATAACTACCTCGACCCTAGGGCTGGTTCCCATGCATACAAACACCATTAAGCCACCCGCAATCACCCGGCCCCCTTCGACCCCGTACACACTCTACGTTCTCGGCTCGACTGTGTACCCTTGCCACTTTTCCACCCCACCTCGTCGTCCCGCGTGCATTAATTCCCTGTCATTTATCAATCTTAGCTTTTTAATTGCGCAGTCACCGGGGACCCGAAAAGCGGGACAGTAACGAAAGATATTAAGACACTTTTAGGTCCTTCGAAAGCCAATGTCATTTTTTCACGTTACGCGTGGCTCGAGTTATTCATTGTATTGTAATATCGTTTTCTTAAAAAGTCTTTTATATATTTTCTCACTACACATAATAAAATAAAAAAACATACGCCTCTTATATTTTAATTTCTTCGATACGGCGCTCGTCCGCCGCTTAACGTCACTTGACTAGCCGCAAGCCACAAGCAAACGTATTAAATTGAGAAATTGACAAACACAAAGAGTTGATACAAAAACTACTTACAACGAAGTGTTCAGACTAAAGAACGTAAACAATCGAATGCTTTCGGCGATTGTCGACTATAATCGACGCTCGCCGTACAGACACATTCGGCGTTCGTCGACTATATAGTCGACGCTCGTCCTCGAGAAGTTAATTGTGTGAAGATTGAATTTGTTTATATCTTATCTAAATTGTTTGTATATTTCAATGTAACAAATTAATAATCTTTTATCTTATATTTTAATTGCGCGGGAATTGAATTTGTTTATATTTTATTTATATTATTATTTATTTATATTGTTTGTATATATTTCATTGTAACAAATTAATAATCTCCCATCTAGAAAAATAAATACCTATAATATTACAGACGATTGTAATAATACGAACAATGTTATTACTCTGTCGCGACGTGGATTGGAGAAGCGATTATGGAATAAAATGCAATTTCGTTGGAATTCCCGTGATGTCCCGGCGAATCAATCTCCCGGATGAGGTCGGGCGCCGGAAGTTCGAGGTTCCCTTTATTCCTTCTCCTTGCAATCAGGCAGAAAGGAGAGCGGAGGGCTACTTACGCCGGCGGATTATAAATGACCGAGCCTTATCGTGGTGCCCAAGGCTCCCGGTTCCCAAGGTTCTATCGTAACAGAGAGATCAGGGTGAGCCCGGCGCTCCCAGGGGGTTCACGATGACAGGTCGCCCGGGGGCGCTGCCTAACTCCCACCCCCTCTCGGCTCGTCCAAAGAACGGTCTCGTGCCCGAGATTAACTTTGAATTCGTCGTGCGGACCGTCAAGGGGTGAGCGCGGGCGGGCAGAACGAAAAATTTGTCCGTCGTAGGAGCGGACGGACCGGAACGACGGGAGATCGATGGAAATCGGTGCCACGTACGACGTATTCTCGCGTGTGTCGCTTTCCTGAAACGAGAGGGAGAGAGAAAACGAGAAAAGGCGTCTCTCTCGGGCTCCGCGATCACGCTTGGTGGGCATTCATCGTGTCGTGACGCGACTCGTTCCGGCGATCTGACAAATTCTACGAAGCGCAATTTTCCGGAGGTTATTGAAGTGAAAATTTTAATGCTGTATAAAATGTGTATTTGCAAATTTAATTTGCAATCGGTAAAGAATTAAAGTACAATTCTGTTGAGAGTAAGACACACTGAACTGCGTCAACCACAAATCGGCAGATTAATTTCGAGATGACTGGCGATTCTGATGGCCGCATTTTTTGTTCCCGTTCGACCGAGCTCGTGTTCCATTTGGGAACGTAAGACCCATTCTGGCGGCGATCGTTGCGCATACACCGCAAAAACGACGTTAGACGTCCACCCTCTCCACGGACTTAGAAGCCCGTTAATGACGCGTTCGCGTAAGTCGAATAGGGCGGCCTCGTAGAACGAGCGGCGAGTGGCTAGCGGAATAACGGAATGGCTAACGGGAACCTCCCTCTGATTGCAGTTAATTTACTCGCTGAATCGGGTTAATGTAGCGTACCGGTCGTACCGTGCTGCGGTTCCGTACGGCGACGTATCGGTGTCCCGCCGAGAAAGAAAACGCGCACGTTGTCCTCTCGTATCTTCGGAGTATATCGTTTATCGCGCTCGACAATTCGAAATTCTTTTTTAATCGCGCAATAATTCTTCTCGTAATTAATGAATTCGATTTTGTAATAATAATTTCGCACAAAACAAATACAGTGTCCGAACATGATTTACCGACTGCCGCACATATATATATATATATATATATATCTTGAACGCGGACAAATCGCAAATCGTACGGAAGAACTGAAACTGGAACAACGTTTGGCCACCTAACAATGTGATAATTTATTGCCGGCTGGCGAAAGAGAGAATATCCACGAAAACGCGATCGCATTAAAAATATTATATTATGATCGCAATAACTCACTCAAAATGTACGACACGGTCTTCCGTGACAGCTCGTTAAAATCTTATTTGACTTGCGATACTCGCCCCGATACACGTTGATGCACATATGTAATCCAGCTGCACTGGTATTTCACGCGCGATCATCCGCCCACAGGCTGTCATCGGTAATGTAATGTCGTTTCTCGTCGCCGCAATCGAGCGCGCGTCATGGGATCAGGATCGTGATCGACAGCCCACGCTGAGCTCCGTCCTGGCATGAGACAAGCTCGCATAAACCTCACCTACTATAGATAGTATCTCTCGCGATATTCTTACTCAAAATGTTTTATTACAATTCAAGTATATTTCGTTGTCCCGCACGTGAGAGAAAAGTCCGACGGAGAAAATTACTTTTGCTATTTTTATTGCGGTGAGGGAAATTACGTGGCACTTTTTGTCGGCGTTATAATCGTGATTATACCAAACGTGGTTTCAACTCGTACTGATAATCAATATTCATACCGTTACACTCTATCATGGAAATTGATAGCACGAGGCTGCCTACGCGTCTCGCCACCGCGACGACAAAATCTGTATTGACGAGCGAATTTTCACGGAGCAAAAGCGGACAAGATGACACGGAAAATCCACACACGCGTACACACACACACACGCACGCACGTGTGTCCAAGCGAACGCGCGAACGCGTTCATTCACATGTGTACTCGCGTGCTCTCCGTTTACGAGAACTCTCGGTCGGCGAAAAGAGAGGAAGGAGGGATGGTAGGAGCCATATCGTCCGCGTGTTGATTTACGCGGCGTACCGCGCATTTTTACTGCCGCGTTATAGAGATTTAAGTGCGGCCAATTATACGTTTTATGCCGTCTCCGTGGCCGTGTGTCTCGGCCCCTTCCTTGCTTCTTTCCGATCCCAATGGCGCTTCCGACCAACGTGGCTGAAACGACGAGTTCCACGGTTTTTCTTTCTCCCAAACTTCTGTCGCAGCTATACTTAGCGAATGGAGAATGGACGAAGTCTCACGCACACATCGGCGATAATCTATTTCGAGAGATATATGGAGAGAACCCAGGCGCGCGCGCAGCGACAGTTCATTCTCAAAATTGAAAATATCGCGATGATAGCACAGGTCAAACAATCGGTCAATTTCGATTTCCGTTTCGAACTAAGAATATTAGTTCGAATGCAGAGACGAGATACCTGATTTGCGCGCGAATTTATAGACGCTGCCAAGTGAGAAACCCGATGTGGACGTAAATTTAGTACGTTAGTTTCCTAACTCTGTTCTGTTTTATTCTGTTCATTCATAACGGTGATTCGTATGTATATTTTATGTGGGTTATGAGATTCCCTTAATCTCTCAAATTATTTAGAATTTCCGAGGAAAATCGATGGACGCCGATGATCGCGTCGGGATGGAACGTCAAGCCGAGAACATCTTCCTCGAAGACGAGGCCGCAGCCTCTATTTAGGGTGGCCGCGCAAACTGTCGAAATAACCAGCGCATATGGCCGCCGAAAATAAACTCCTCCTTATTCCCATCCCGTCGAAGCGAGGACCGTTCTCGCCTCTCTCTCTCTGTTTCTCTCCCTTCCTTCTTGCTGTGACTATCTTTCTCTCTCTCTCGCCTTCCTCCCCTCGCCCTTTCGTCGCAGCGCTTCTTCCAACTACGCGGGATCCGCTTCGAATACGACTTTAGACGCGAGCTCGAGAGTGCGCGACCCTCCCGACACGAGCGTAGTAGGTAGAGAACGCGCGCGCGTATACCGGATACCGAGACATTTATTTGTTGCCACGTCAGCCGAAGGGCGAAAGAAAACAATAAAAACCAAGGGGAAAAGGATGGGACGTATACACGTCGTCGCGGGGTATCGCGTTTCGCGGTCACGATTACAAATCGCGCGATATCGAAGAGAAATTTTGTAATCCGCACGGGAACTTGCGTGGCAGATTATTAATCGCTCTCGGAAAAAGCGAAGTCTGCAGTCCGGTAGAAATAAACGAAGTTGTGTTGCACACAACGCACATAGTCTCGGCTTTCGGCCGTGAAGAGCCTTCGGCTTCGTGATTTCGCTCGGCTGGGAGAATCGGCGAGAAAGGTCGTTGCACCAAAACATCGCCGGCTGCTGATTCGAGAATCCGACGCGGCCTCGTTCCCCTCGCGGGGAATAAGGAGTCTCCACTTCGACGCGATTCCCGGACTATTTTTGACGATGAAATGTGGCTCGCCGGTGTTTCTTGCCTCGCGCGCGAGAGAAAGAGAGAAATCGTCGCGGTCGATTTCGCG